GCTAGCGCTCTACCACTTGAGCCACAGCACCACTTCCGGCTTTTTTCTTTTTGCTTATGTGGTACTGAGGAATCGAACCCAGGGCCTCATGCATGTGAGGCAAGTGGTCTACCACTGAGCCACCTTCTCAGCCCCTGTTTTGAAAATTTTAGAAGTCACAAGAGTTATTTCCATTGATTTTTCATTTTGGGCTGTTTTTTTGCTCAAGGCTAGTGCTTTACCACTTTTAGCTACAGTGCCATTTCTAGCTTTAGATAAGGGGTCTCATTGCCTGGATTGGCAGATCTCATCCTCCTGAGTAAATCAGGATTACAGGCATGAGTCAGTGAGAATTGATACTTGCTAAGCCAGGTATTGCTCTGCATAACTATAATCTCAGGATTTAGGAGGCTACCATAGGAATATCACAAGTTTGAGGTTAGCTATGTAGCAAGACTGTTATTGAAACATGTTGACACATTTCTAATGTGCTTAGGGTTGGCTAAATAAGTACTATCTTGGGCTTAGATGTCAAAATTTGGAGCTTCCCTTTCCCTTGCATTTTCCTTTCCTTTTTTCTATATGGTTGTGACTATTCTACAGCTTTAATTTTAGTAATAGGATTGTTTACAGAGATGGCTCTTTGCTATTAGAAATATATTTGCTGTTTGAGGAGAATGACAATGTGAAGAACATTATGGTTTTATAAAAATGCAGTATAAATTATAGATTAAACCTTAATTACTAAAATTGATAATGGTGCTGTGCTTGTATGACATAATAGCTCTATTCTTAGGGTTTTTTAAATTTTTTTTGCTGGTCCTGGGGCTTGGACTCAGGCCTAAAGTGGTACGTATGGTCCTTGAGCTTTTTCACTCAAGGCTATTACTGACCACTTGAGCCACAGCACAACTTCTGGCTTTTGGGTGATTTATTGTGGATAAGAGTCTCTTGAATAAGCTGGCTTTGAACTATGATCCTCAGATCTCAGCCTCCTGAGCAGCTAGGATTATAGGCCTGTATCACCAGTGCCCTGCTTTGGGATTCATTTTTAGGAATTCCAGAAAGTAGAGGCCATGATTTAAATAATTTACCCCCAGATACTTAAAAAGGTTGTTTGTATGCATGTTAGTTTCTTGTTGTGTGATAAATTTCTTAGGAAAAAACTTAAAAAGAAGAAAAGAATATTGTGATTTAGGATTTCAGAGGTTTCAGTTCATAGTTGGCTAGCTGCATTGTTTCAGAGCTCATAGTGAAGTAGAACATGGTGGAAGGAAGCAAGGAGTGAGCAAGGAAGGGACCAGTGGCAAGATACAGATTCCAGGACCATGAAGCCTTTCACCCACTTCCTGTAGCTAGAACTCATTACTGAAAGTTTCCAGAACTTCGTGGTACCACCAAACTTTCAACATATGACCTTGTTGGAGACATTTCATATTCAAACTATCTCTGTGTCTATGTGTGTTGAAGGGAGGAATATGGAATAAGGGGGGCAAAATTACAAAGTAAGTAAATTAAAACAAGTAATAAAAATGTTAAAATAGGTGAAGTTGAGGTTTAGCATATATACTGTATTTTTGTGTTTGTAAGCTAGTAAGTAGTAAATGAATGTAAATACAAGCATGCAATAGTAGTAAATGAAAGTAAATGGTAAGCATGAGTGCTTTTTAGGATACTCTTAAGGTAGTCCTGGGAATGCAATTTTTTCTTAAAAATCACATTAGCCCTCCCCCCCCCTATAATTATATTTAAAGAATGAAGGTGTTTCAATATATTATAATGTATGGTTACTTTTCTATTTTAAGCTTTAACTAGATTATTTAAGCTTTAATTAGATTATTTCTAATTATTTTTTCTAATAGTTTTGATCTGCTTATACTGAAAGAAGTGGTACAGAAAATGGCAGGAATTGAAATTACAGAAGAAATGACAATGGAGCAACTAGAGGCCATGACTGGTGGGGAGCAGCTCAAAGCTGAGGTCAGATTGCTTTTTTTTTTGTTGTTTCTTGAGTTTTTAGATTTAAGATGTACACTGGTTCCTCATTTCCCATGGCTTTACTTTTCAAAAATTCCAGTTACTCATGATCAACCATGTTTCCAAAATCTTAAATGAGAAAATGCAGAAGTAGACCATAACTTTTATTTGAGGTCCATTCTGTATAGCATGATGAGATCTTATGCCTTCCTACTTACTCTTGCTTAGAATATGAGTCATCATTTTGACCAACATATCTATCCTATATATCTGCTGTTTTGGTTATCAGATTGATGTATTTGGTTAGCAAACTATATTTTGGTATACTTGTATTCAAATAACTTGTACAGTAAGTCAGTAGCCTTATGATGGTGCATCACAGTGCCTATGTCCTTCATGGTGTGTTATATGAAATCATCCTAGGAAAAGTGAGGACAGGACAATAAGGTATTTTGAGAGAGAATATGACCACATGCACATAATTTTTTTTTTGCAAGTCCTGGGGCTTGAACTCAGGGTCTAGGCACTGTCCCTGAGCTTCTTTTTGCTAAAGGCTAGCACTCTACCACTTGAGCCACATCGCCACTTCTGGCTTTTTCTGTGTATGTGGTACTGAGGAATGAAACCCAGTGCTTCATGCATGCTAGGCAAGCACTCTACCCCGAACCACATTCCTAGCCCTCACATAACTTTTTAAATACAATATACTATTATAATTGTTATTAATGTGCCTCATTTGTAAATTACCTATCATAATATGTATGTCTAGGAAAAAATAAAATGTATAGATTTGTTATTGTTTGTTGTTTCAAATAACTTCTGCAAGTCACGTATAATAAATGGGGTTATATAATGCATGGTCATAAGTAAAGAGTAAACAGTATATAAATAAGTACTTGATGCTACATGTAAAAACCACACAAACCATCCATTTAAAAATTGAGATATACTAGTTAATAAACCCTTTTAGTAATCTAAAAGTATATACAGGCCAAGAAGTTACATAGTTGTGCTAAAAATTAATGGTAGATCTTCTGTGGTATTTAGTATCCTATGTTGTTTCTTTTTTTTGTTGTTGTTCGTGGGTCTTGAACTTTGGGCTTCGGTGCCGTCCCTCAGCTCTTTAGCTCAAGGCGAGAGCGCTACCACTGAGCCATAGTGCCACTTCTGGTTTTTTGGTTGTTAATTGCAAATAAGAGTCTCATGGACGTTCCTGCCGGGGCTGGCTTTGAATCCCCATCTTCAGATCTCAGCCTCCTGAGTAGCTAGAATTATAGGTGTGAGTCACTGGCTCTCAGCTTGGTATTTGCTATTCTTAGTGATATATATTTTAATATACTTTATTAAAGCTCATCTACATTGAAAACAATCCTTTTAAGAGACTATAAGTTAGCAGATGGAAACTTAAACATTTAGGACAGAGTATACTCAATAATAATGTTATTAAAATAAGTAATTGAAGGAGAAGAAATGTAGAATAGAGCAATTTTTATTTTAAGATCACAACTCAGCTTTTTTTTTTTTTTTTTACAATGTCCTCTTTAAGTCAGATAACATGGGCTGCATACTATAAACCAGTAAAATTTTGTCTTCTCTTATGCAGGGTGGTTATTTTGGCCAGATCAGAAACACTAAAAAATCTTCTCAGAGATTAAAAGATGCCCTATTAGATCATGATCTTGCTCTTCCTCTTTGTTTGCTTATGGCTCAGCAAAGGAATGGGGTAATCTTTCAAGAGGGTGGAGAGAAACATTTGAAACTTGTTGGAAAACTATATGACCAGGTAAGTTAAAGTAGACTTTCTATTGATATAGTTTTTAATCCTGATAAAAGGAAATGGAAAATGTGATATAATTTGAAGAAATACCACTTTTGCATACTATATGAGCATGGAACAGCTCTAATGTCAAAGACTGCCACCTTTTTATGCATAAATTACAGTATTTAAAAATTGTTGGAGTGTTTTTGTACATAATCAAATTCCTTCAAATTCAGCTTGTTTATTTTCTTTTGTTCCTGATCTCCAGAAATCTGTAATTTCTTTTTTAATGTTTTTATTGTAAAAATACTGTACAGAGAGATTACAGTTACACAAGTAAGATAATGAGTACATTTTCTATAGAGCATCATTATCCCCTCCTTTGTTTTTCCCCTACGATCCCTTCCCTCCCCAGCTCCCCAAATCCTCCCTCCCCCACCCCAAGTTGTAAAGTTCGTTTTTATTTTTTTTATTATTTATTTATTTATTTATTTTTTTGACTTTCCTGCTCGGGCTGGCTTTATTTATTTATTTATTTTTTATTTGTGAACATACTGTACAGAGGGGTTACAATTACATGGGCAGGATAATGCGTACATTTCTTACCAAGCATTGCAGCCTCCTCCTTTGGTT